CTTTGAATGTTTGGCGTACCTATTCTAAGGGTTCTGTGGCCTTTTAGCATAAAGCAGAGACTAGAATGTCATTCTCTTGTGATTTCATTAACAGCATCACTGTGAATGGGAGACAAGTGTCTATTTGTTTCCAGTTGGATACAGACATTGCAAACAGCCTTGAAGAGAATGTAGGTTTGTACTGGGAAGATTGGTGAACAGCAGCATGTTTTAGCAGTTGGAGGTCAATCTTCATTATGTTGGTGAGTTTCCTTAGATGTCTGAGTTTCATGATAATGTGCTCTGGAATTCCTGTGAAGAAAATGCTTTTGAGCTCTTGAATTGAGAAAGACTTGTGAAGATATTGTGCACAGTAATTTTTAATAGCCTATGCCTCTCAGGATGTCTGGTGCTTACTATCTTTCTGATCATCAGGAATTAATTTAAGGCAGAAAGCAACAAGAAGTCAAACTGGGGTGTAGCGTCTCTAAGGCATCCTAAATCTCAGAAGGATTTTAGCCTATCTCAAAGTACACTGAAATACAACATTGACAGAGATAACAAGCAGGGATAAGCAAATTCAAAGAAACCATCTTATTCAGCAGTTGTCTGGAGATACAGGATATAGACCCACCAATCTGAGTTGGTTATTTCAGATAGGGAGAGAACTGCAGCTGGATACCCAGAGAATTAGGCCATGCTCTCATCTGGCAGGATTTTGGAATTCAAATTTTGAATGGATTTCAGAAACTTAGGGAGCTAAAGTACAGTTCTAAAGGTTAGGTGGCTGGCTTAAGTGTCTGGACAACTGTACCTCAGTTCTGATTTGCTTACAGATACTGAAAATTCTTCATGGCCCACAGCCTAGCACGAATTCTCCTCTTTTCAGTGCACTAGGCTACACATCAGGAAGAAGGAGAAGAGATATCAGTGAGAATGCTAAAATGCATGGCATAAAGAGATTTAAAGATGCTAACAATGCTGGGTATTCAGTTACTTCCCTGGGAAAGTCTCAAGCACCACACCAAGTTGGCTAGTTCACACATAAGCAGGGAGGACTTCCTTGGTGCCAATCCTGTTTTACCACTTGCCCTTAGTACTAGTGATATTTGGCAATATAAAGACACACTCAGGATAGTTTTTAGGAAAGAAGTAAACATAAGCCAATAAGTACCCCAGTCATTTAAAAGACATATTGCTGCCACAAAGCTAAATATATTTAGCATGCTTCCCCTGTGCATATTTCATGCCATCACAGGACATAGAGTTCCAAGATTTTAAGCCCATCAAGACATAGCAAAAGCATGTTAACTCTGAACAGATATTAAGCACTTTAACAGTAATGAATAATGTCAATGAAGAAGATAACTTACCATAAAATATACCTAATATTTAATCAGAAAAAAAACCCTTGAAACTAAAATCCCAGGAACTAAAACAGCACAACATTTTTTGTGGTGTGATGTTACAAGTGAGAAATGAGACCTAGAATCACAGAATGGGGTGAGTTGGAAGGGACCATGAAGATCATCTAGTTCCAACCCCCTGACACAAGCAGGGACACCCTCTACTAGACCAGGTCTTAGAGTCCTGTCCATCTTGAGCTTGAACACTCCCTGGGATGAGGAGTCCATAACTTCTCTGGCACCCTGTTCCAGTGCCTCATCATTTTTTCCTAACATCTAATCTAAACCTATCCTCCTTCAGTTTGAGACCATTCCCCCTTGTCCTTCTCCTCAGGAGGGCTCATCTCAATCCATTCTCTGCCCAGCCTGTGTTTGTGCTCAGGATTGCCCCAAACCAGGTCCAGGACCTTCCACTCAGCCTTGCTGAACTTCATGTGGTTCTTGCAGGCCCATCTCTCACGCCTGTCCAGGTCCCTCTGGATGGCATCCCTTCCCTCCAGCACACTGACCACACCACACAGCTTGGTGTCACTGCAACTTTGCTGAGATGCATTCCATCCCACTGTCCATGTCTCCAGCAAGGATGTTAAACTGCACCAGCCCCTGAGGAACCCCATTCCACCTGCCCAATTACAGTTGTCACAAAAATAGGCTTGGAGATTTTAGGGCTGCACTGATCGCTAGAATATTAATGTTGCACACACACCCTGCATATACTCTTATTCCTCCATCTAAGAACAAGTTTCAACCCTAAGAAAGATGAATAAAACACTGAATCTGTTAGGAAATGCATTGCTGTGCCACAAACAGAATCAGGCAAACACCTGATGGAAAGCAGGTATCTCCTCTGTTCCTTAGGGAGCACAGCAAAATAATGGTCTGTCACACTGAAAGAAAATGGAGATTCTTTCCTATCAAAAGAATTCATCATATTTAGGATACAGTTTTCTTTATGGGAGAACTTCTGGCAATAACCATGAAGAAAAGTGGTTTTATTCATCTTGATTACTGTCAGGGATTTTTCCACTGTGTAAACAATAACTCATAGGTATTCAGGCACCCAGAGCTTTGAAACAGCTTTGAGAGCAGACAGCAACTGACTTTGCTTGAATCCGAACTCATCATATAAACCTCATGATAGTTATTATTCTAAGAAGCACATTGCCTGGTTTTGCCTGCACAGACTACAAAGTGCATTAAAAGTACTGATAGAGCTTGAGAAGCTGCAGGGGGAGGGAATGCAAATTTATTCAGACCCTTTTAAAACAGTAGACAAGCACTAGTGCTAATCTTGGAGATGTGCTTGTTTTTCTAAACTGTTGCAAATGTTCCCTTAAGATAGTAATAAAAATTCAACTTTTAATTTACCTAGCATTACACACATATCATGTACAATTAACAGTGCTCTGTACACCCTTTGCAACTTCAACTGTGTTCAGATTAAACCACACAGGGCTTGCTCAAATGAATATTTTTGGACCATAAAAAGGTACTTTCAAGCCCTTGTTTTCAGGGGAAAACTATGCTTGCTTTGTTTAAACATCATATATGCCCAGTTTTTAGAATTTGGTCTGAAAAAAAAGAACAGACTCATAACAGAAAAAAGGCAATTTCTTCCCCAAGTATACTTTTTCAACAGCACGTAAGATAGGGATGACAACGCTGTAACACTTCAGTAACAATTAGTCATCCTGTCTTAGCAGAACATAATATAATAAAATCCTATTTTTCTAGGATTTTTGTTCATCTTTTTTCTTTTCAACATCATGTACTTTACAGTGCCTTTTTATATCAGATATTATTGGTTTCTTCCTTCCAGATGCTTAAAGGTTAGGAAACGATTTTCTTTCTTTTGATTCCTCTCCTGGGAAAAAAATTCAGCAGCTTGTTATTTTCCTCAGCACTCTCTGTATAACAAAAGGTAGCATATATGGAAGCCCTTGTTTTCCTCTTAGCTCTACTGCTCCAGACCAGCAGCTTCGATTAATTTCCTTGGGCACTGAAGATGTTCAGCAGCTCTAGGGATTGACTATACTCAGACCAAACAAATACCAGAATCTCATACTGGAACCATGGACTTAAAGACTGGAGTTCTAAAACAGATAGCAGTGATTTTAGACAGACACAAAAACAAAATATTTCTTCCAAGTGAATGAATATATCAAGAAAGATGAGACTTGTTAGAAAATTACCTAACTTCTCTTTTCTTGAGTGGTCATGTCCACAAGCTCTCATAATATTTCACAAAATGCATCAGAGTAAAAGCCGTTCCACATCTCAGTCTCATTACTGTCATTATACAATTAATACAAAAATATTTTTTGTTATTCTCATCTTCCATGTGTATCCTCCTTTCTTCTTTCTCCCCTTTTTCTTTAATGCTGTATTTTATTATTTATTTGTTGTCCTTTTTTTTCTGTGCACTAGTAGTTAATTATATTTTACATATGCTAGAAAATTCTAATAAAAGCACTAGGACTTAGAAAACAAACTTTTTTCTTTTTTAATTGATGGAACATCTGCAAGTTTAATTAGGCAACCCATTGAGATAAATGCATCAACAAATAAATTTCCCACTCATGAACACAGCACAGCTAAAAAGAAACTGCCTGGGAAGTTTTAATTCATTTGGGCACCAAAGTATTTATACCCAACAGATTTGGGCCAGATAATAGCTTTCCAACACAACCCCAAGATTACAGACTGAACCCCAGCAGGGCAGCTGATTCTTAAGCACTGGGAAATCTCCCACAGGATTAGAGCACACATATTTTACTTTCAGAGTGACAGGCAAGCAAGTGCATGCCAGGAAAATGCCTGAATGAAGAAGGGGTTGATATAAAACTGTCCTCTGCAGGTGGCCACTACTTAGGCTCTTCTATAAATAAGCTGGTCCTGATGACCAGAAGAAGATGCAGTACAGAGATCCTATTAGCCTATGAGCCTCTGCCACAGCATATGGCACAGCACACACCACAGTTGAGATGGCCACAATACACAGAGTACCCTCATACAATTTCAGAGGCTTTAAGCATTCACCCCCACAGAGGAACACCATACCCCATCAGAAGGCTTCAGGCACATGCCCATGCAGACTGACATCACTTCAGAAGGCTGCAAGCATCTGCTCTTCTTGTCCTTTAGCCCAACCTTTTATCCCCTCCTGCTGATGCACTGCACCTGTGTGCCCTCTGCTCCCTTTGGTGTTTGCTCAGTGCCCCTGGGCACTCCAGGGCTCGTTGCTGTCAGTGCTGCTGCTCACCTGCTTCCCACAGCTGTGCCCATTGGGGATGAGGCTGGACACAGCCCCACTCCCAGATACCACAAACTGAGTGCCTACAAGCCTCTGGTTTACGGTGCAGGGTTTTTTTCTGTTTATACTCTGCACCATCTGAATCCAGAATAGAAAAATTGAGCCTAGTCTGAGACTGCTGATACCAGTCACAGGTAAAAATTGAGGTTGAGATTAGAAGTATCAAGAGAAAGGATATACAAGCATAATACCTTAAAAAGAAGAAATATAAATGCTATTTAAAATAATAATCACATTTATAATGTAACATTTATAACTAAGTCAGATGTTCAACATTAATAAATGACATAAGGAAGCAATCATACTTATAAAGGAGATATTTATTTCTGAAGATTCAAAGAAGGATTGCACTTTTTTCTTCTGCATCTGAAAAGCAAACATTTTACTTGAGGAATCAATAAAAAATAACAGAATAAAAGGGAGGAAACAGCACTATCAGTTCAGAACTTCCAATATCTTTGCAACTTGCTTCCACTTAAGAACAAGGCTGGTTCTTCAGGGCAATAACTGCATAGCATCTCGGGGACTTCACAGGATCAAATAACTTCACAAGTCCAGACCAGGCAATGTTTTCCTGCAAATGACACATGACTGAAGTGCATAAAAATTTGTTTGACTTATAAGCTAAAATATTGTAATAAGTCCACATTTTGAAATACAAAATTGAAAATAAATAGAATTATCCTAATGCAAAGCAGGAAAACCACTTATATAATAAGAAAATGGGGGAAAGTTTGTGGTGAAAAAAGGACGCCCATAACAGGATCAATTTTAAAATAATTTAATTCTTTCTGATGCTATCAAGTGATAGCTTCCCACCTGCTTCATCAATAAAGCTCTGCTTCTTGGTTGAACTAGAGCAAAGAAATTAAGGATCACATCATACTCATTTTATGTTGCACATTCTACTGCTGAATCTAATTAACTGACTTTTCAAATGAATCAGGCTGGCTGGATCTGGTCATCATGCTGCATTTGGCTTTTATAACTTTTATTTTTCTTCCTAAACACATTTTGTGAATCATTTAGTACAAGATTAAATCCATGCATAAATTACATTTAGAAAAGGTGAATTAGTGCTATATGCAGCACGTTTGATCTCCCACCTTGGAAATCATACATATTTCTATGCAATTTTTAACCAGTTGGCATTTGGGAAAATACATCATTATTTAACTATTTCAAATTGCCTCTCTGTAAAAATACCAGTTAGAACAAAGGCATACATTTACTACAATTCAGTTGTTCCAAGTGCACCGTGACAGAGAATAAAGTGAGTTTTCACTTATGATAAAATGGAGTTGTTAAAATGAAAGGTTTATAGGGGAAAACCACAGCTATTCATATGAATGAGTTTAAACTTTATTTTAAAATTTCACTTTGACCATGGCCCAGAACAGAAGCTGGAAGATGCTACCATTTCCTCTTAGGAAATTATTAGTTGTGTGAAAAATGTTTGCTGGTGCAGAAAAAGTATTACCAGTGCTTTCAAGTTAACCAGGCCAAGCTCCAAATCGGTGTTAGAAGAAGCAGTGTAATAAGGGAAGTCATTGTGGAGTAAATGTAGTAGCATTTGCTTATTATATCCCAGATCTATACTTGTAAAATATATCCAGGCTGTATGTTAGTCAAATGTACCTCAGCTGACCCATTCAGTTAGAAAAAGTGCACTCTCTCTCATTATTGATCTTAACTAAGAAACAGTAAAAGAAAATCATAAACATTTTGGATCTAATTCAAAATTTTTTTCTAATATGTTCCAAAGCACATTAATTGAAAGTTCGAGTATTAACAGCACAGTATTTGTTTAGCATTTCCAAAAATTTCAAATTATTAAATATCTCATTATGGTGTATAAAATGAGATTTGATGCATCTTTAATTAATTGATTTTTTACTATCTATTGACTAGTAATTACCATATAATTAAAAGAGCATAAACTTTACTGTTGCTGCTTTGTTGAAAATAAAAACATCTGCTAGGCATATGTTTATACTAAATGGAATGAATGCTTATACTTTTGCAAATATGATGAGAATAATAATTCTGCAACAGAGACTTTTTGTCTGCACAGTAATAAATTGTGAAATAGAAGAAATATATAGAAGAAATAGCCTTATTTCTGTGATGTAGCCTTTAGGTATCATAAAAGAGAATGCAAAAATACCTGCTCCTTGAGGTAGCAAAGACGATCCAGAAGTATCAAAACTTCTATGCAAGGAGCCAGAACAACCTTCAACTGAAAGAAAGATTAGATGCTATAATCCTTTTGGGAAAGACAGGCAATACACTTCCAAATGGCTACATTACCTCACAAGAATTCCAGGAAGGTCAATCATTTTTTAGGGGTTCTGTTGTCAACTTGCTAGTTCTCCCTATGGGATGGCCATCTTCAAAACAGTTTATATTAAAGATCAAAAATACATGGAATGCCATAAAGTCAGGGAACTATGTTATTTAGTTGTTTTTCAGACACTGTTCAACAAGAAAATAATATTAAATGTAGCAGAACAATTTTAAAGAGGGAAATAATGAATTTCAATAAAAAGAGTTTTTTATGAAATAACTGCATGGAGACCAGTCTAGATTTAAAAGGAGACTGACATTCCATTTTCCAGTGCAATAATCCCTCTTGAAAAAGAATCTACCATGTGTTCACTTTATTACTTTACTTACACCTAATATAGTTCTGGAATAGGATACGCTCCCAAGTATGGAAGGGGGAACTGCTTTGTTTTTTGAGATTGCATACCACAGTGCGAGACAGTCCACCTCCACATAAAACCTAACAGGGTTTTGTTCTAAACTAGAACATATATATGCAAGGTAGTAGTATTAATCCTACAACTTTTACCATATTAAATGCTTCAAGCTCATTCATTCTGTCCTTGTACTTTTCATAGTAATCCATTATACAGCTGTCTGGGAGCTGCAAGGGATTAAAAAAAGAGATATCAGAGTTATTGTCGTTACTTTTTCAAGGGAACTTCAGAATTAAATATTGTCACACTACAAAATGAAATCTGTGTTTCATTTTTTAAATTAGCACTTTGCTAATATTTATAATAATTTTCCAATAGCAGTTTCTCAGTTTTTATTTAGAGTAACTGTTCCTAACACAGCATTTTCCACTGACATGAAATACTGAGATATATCCATTATTCAGAAAACTCCAGTCATCCTTAAATGAGAATTACACAGTGAAGTGGAGAGTGGCCAGCACTGCTGCTATGACTGTAAATGCCACAATTTGGGGCTGAATTTCATACACAGACAGTCCAGGAACTTGACCAAGCCTTTTCAGCCCTTGCTGGCCAGTGCAGCAGAGCAGCTGCTGCAGCTGTGACCATGAGTGCTCTTCACAAAGCATGTTCTCTAAAGGGCAGCCAGACCACCACATCTCCTGGCTTTTGAAGGTCATGATGTGTCTGCTCTGCTGGCCACAGTCCTGGACACTGAACAACACACTTGAGCTGGCCAAAGAAGTGGGAGGTAGGATTGCAGCATTATTGCTGATGGAGGCTGCTGGGAAGAGCAGAGCTGGAAGAGCCTGATGCACTTCTGCAGTACTGGGATTTTTGCAGGATGGCTGTTCTGTCATGGCTATGGAATGAGGGAGTCCAAACTTATCAGGAAAGTAACAGCTCTGACAGACATGGAGATGTGACACTGAGGGACATGACTTAGTGGTGGACTTACAGCGCTGAGTTAACAGTTGGAATTGCTGCTCTTAAAAGTCTTTTTCAGCCTAAATGGTTCTATGGCAAAGGACTAGGAAAGCTGAAGTGATAATAAATTTTTGCACATTTTGTTAGAAGAATCAGATGATCTGAGAGCATGTAGCTAATACAGTTGTAAAGAAGTAAAATCTTTGTCTAAAATAGGGAAACAAACCAGGAAACATTTAAAAAATATATAAGTTTTCAAATTAGGTGAGTATTATAAACTTTATCCTGGGACAGCCAAGAAGGGATTGAAGTGACCTCAGAACTATTACTCATTGTCACTGAGAAGTTCTCAAAGAGAATATGTCAGACAAATAGCAGATATATATGTCAATTATAGAGCAGACACTTCAGATCCAATGCACTGATGAAAAAATGGAACAAATAGAGAATTAAACCAGTGAAAGATGAGCAAATGAGTAATAATCAACACAAATTCATCAAGAATAAATCACAAGTCAGTCTACTTCACTTGTAAGGAGGGTAAAAGGATTCATGACAGACAAAAACAACTGGTTCTCATATATTTTGACTTCAAAAAGATTTTTGATAACATTTCCCATATAATTTTATAAGCAAATTTGGGAAACAAACTTCAGTATTAAGTACAAAAAAGTCAGCAAGACTGTTTGAACGACCATAACCAGAGAGTGGTTCTTAATGAGTCTCTGAGCAACTAGAACGACCTGCTGACTGGAGGTCCATTAAGGAATGCAATATTTTCATTAAGAATTCAGACAATAGAACAGAAACCACATTAGCTAAGTCTGCAAATGTGCAACAGGAAGGCATTGCCAGAACTTAAAATAACTTTTGGAAACTGGAGCATTGCTTAGTGAAGAAGTTTGAAATGCTGTGCAGAAAAGCAGAAGGGACCAGGCTCAGGCAGAAATAATCAGCTGTTCAGGATGGGGAGCACCAAAGGACAGTCTGGAAGATAGAGCAGATCATAAGCTGAGTGCGAGTCACAGTTGTGCTACTGCAAAAAAAAATCCAAAAAAAACCAATCACCATTCTGTGACATGTATGGGAGAGCAGCCTGCAAAGTGCAGGAAGTAATCCTTCAACTCTGGCAGTGGAAAAGCTCTAGCTGGAACACTGCACCCATTTTTGGGCATCAGATTTCAAAGAAAGAAATGAACTGTCTGAAAAAGCCCTGAGAGGGAAAATAGATCGGAGATCTAGAAAACATGACCTATGAAAAAAGACTCAGAGAACTGGAACTGATGAGGCTAAATGAGACAAAATTGAGAACGGGGATAATAACAGTTCTTACAAGGCTATCACCAAGAAGTAGGGAACAGTTTGTTCACTGTGTCTGTAGTGGATAGGGCATGAACTAATGGGCTTGGATTGCAGCGAAAAAAACCGCAAACAAACCAGTCAGGCAAAAACATGAAGAAACATTTTCTCTTAGAGGTTAATTAAGGACTGGCAAGGTTGTCAGTCTCAATCACAAGAAGCTTTTAAAAGATCCGACAAATACTATTTTCAGGAATGATGCATAATTCTAACTCTGCTTTAAAACAAGAGATCAGAAAAAAACTTTTGTAGTATTTCAGTCTTATTTTTTTAATTTAGAAAGTACATTCTCCCAGTTGCAAAGGCAAGGCTGAGTAGCTTATCCAGCAGTACTAATGTGGACTAACAAGAATTTTTTTGGTCTTATTGCTATTTTATTTCCTGTGAAGCTGTGCAAATATTTTAGAGTTCTTTTTGTTTTTCTCTTCCCCTCTAAACAGTCAAACCAACTAAAATATACTGGTCATGAAATAAACAAAATAGTTTATTTAACCTCTGCCCTATAAGCTTTTCATTTCAACTGCGTATTAATAGGGTTTTAGTATAATGGATTTTTGAAATTACAGGCTATTTGGAATTAAAATACAAAGATCTATATTTGGAAAAATGTGATCTTGGAACCTTTCTGCTTTTGCTTCCTTTATGTTCTCCATTTTTCAAGATGAAGCATTCAAATTAAAAGAAAACAAGCTGTGAAATGTTTGGCAAATAAAAAGTGGGTCAAAAATGTCTCTTGCACACTGCTGTACTCAAGTATGTGCTTTTCCATTCCTTCCCTGCCTACCACACATTCTGACTGAACACATCCTGCTGTCATGGACATAGACTAGCTACTATTCCAAACTGTGCCTCACATAACAGTTTGGTGAGCAAACCAATTCAATGCAATAGCTCAGCTGAAAAAGAGAGAAAGCGTCCATTGGCTGAAACTGCAACAGCTTTCCACCTGCCTTCGGTAGCTAACACAAACTTCAGCTCTCCTTCTAAGGTGAAGTGGGAGTAGTTTACTCTTGGCATTTTTGAAGAGGAATTGTACTTCCACATGCAAAGCAAGCCCCATTCAGCCACTGAAGTTGTCCAAGCAACTGTTCTCTGTGTTGTCACTCATTTGTGTATCAAAAAAGTTTCTTCATATATATGCATTGAACTTTTTTCTTACACTTTGATGTTGATACTATAAACATGGAAAAACTCAAATATTGTCGTGGTTTGACCGGAAATGGGACATCTGGGATATTTTGTTTTGCTGTGATTACCAATGGGTAATTGGAATTTAAGATGGGCACAAATATATACATTTATCCTATCTGCACTCAAAGATCTAGCTTTTCTTACTGACACTGAAGTGACCTTCATTTCATTTTGGCCAGTATTTCCTCCCCGACACAGCTACAATGTCTCCTGGTCTTTATCAGGTTGTCAACAAATGGGCCTCGTCTCTTTGCATTGTGATGGTGGTGCAAGCTTTGTTTGGAACTGATTTCTTTGTGGATTGATGTGGTCACTTCAACAGCCAGAACAAGCAGGACAACCTGGCAAGGTCTCCAGTGACCTAGCTGTAACAATACCATATAGGTATACCATATATACCTTAAATACCATGTGGTGCAGATGGCACTAAGCATGAGCCATAGGGCTGACTGATCCTTTGTGAATGCAGTGATCTGTTGTGAAAGCAGCAGAGCTCTGAGAGCATGTGAGATACCACACACCTGAGCACAGCCACCTTGGACTGCAGTCCCACAGGCATGCTGATAGAGCACAGGCTGAAAAGATGATGTTCAGGCACAAGGTGTGGGGCAATTACTGATACCACACTTCATGTTTGTTCAGAGAGGATTTTTTCAGCTCTGTATCCTTTTCTAGACTAAGAGTATTTTCACTGAATCAAAGTCTCTTTTACTGCCCAATGCTGCACATGTCCTCCAGAGAAGCAACAGCCTAAGGATGCTATTCCACAGTCTGTTAGATGCAATTCCTCTTTGCTACCTCAAAGGGACTGCTTCTTCCTGCACTGACTGCACAATTTCATGTTTCCTCTCTCTACTTGCACCAGCACTATCAGGAACACTAATGAGAGAACAAGAGAGCTGTAAGGCAATCCTTCTAGCAGAGCAGTGACTTAGATCAATTCAAAACATTTGGGAGAACATACCTAACAGGAAATTTTATAACTTTTCCATGACTAAGGTAGTTAAAAATAACGTAATGTTATATATTGTAAAACAACGTAAAATGGCTAATGAAATTACTGAAAGACTTAAGTTTATTTAGAACTTTGTTTAAAATTCACTTCAAATTAATGGAATCTATATTATTTATCATTATACCTAATTGAGATACAAGTCACATCTCTTAAGACTCCTTGTCAGAGTAAAATGCTACAGTGCCATAACTGGGATAATATTTTGTCTATGTGAAAAACAGTTATGCTTAAAAACAGCATTACACTTTAAAGAGTGGTATGCAAGTGTTACCTGAGCCCTCATTTAGTACTTCCCTAACTAACAAAGGACACAGGAAGTCTGTGAGATGGAATTCCTTCTGTCCAAGAAAACAGTGAAGAAAGTCAACTCTTCAACAATTGTAAAATGCGTGTCAATCCATGTAGTACTTTTATTTTTTGACTGCTTTGACTGTCTCACTTAATTGCTGTTTCAGGATTCAGGGGAAAGTGGAGAGCATTGTTTTCGCTTTGGCTCCGTGTTTGCACAATGGCTGTACACAATAAAACATACCAAATTACAAATATTCTTAGCAAAGACCAACCAGTTTCAGATATTCACTGTCATTTCAAGATATCCACACTGATACTGGTTGTGGGGTAGACATTAAAATAGTAAGAAATCTTAAGTTAAAAGTCCCCATTTCTTGCAAAAATTCTTGTTAGTTCCCACTACAG